ATAATAATAATAATAATAATAATAATAATAATAATAATAATAATAATAATAATAATAATAATAATAATAATAAAGTTAATAATAATGGTAGAATTTTTTTAAATATTTCTAGTATTTTAAAACCTTTAGAAATAGATAGTTCACATTATTTATACAAGTCATTAATTGGACCATTTAAGAGCATTGGTAAATATGAATATGAAATAATTCATCAACCAAATGGAAATTGCGCAAACAATATCAATTATAAACCAATTATTATTGCATCAAGCACATTTACCCTATTTCCTAATTTATCATTACCATCATCACCAACATCATCATCACTTTCCGACATGTCATTACCTTCCATGTCATCATCATCACTATCATCAATATATCCTATAAAAATATTGGGATTTTCTGATAATCAATATAATTTAAAAACATTTAATAAAATTGTTAAATCAGCATCAATACTGCACAATCAACCCAACTTTATATTACATGTTGGTGATCCTGTACAGAAATTTGACAGTTTACAGCAATGGCAAACTGATTTTTTTGATCCATTAATCAATTATAAATTAATCCAAAAATCACCAATGATTTTTGCTCATGGTAATCATGACTTTAATCCATTGTTAAATTACCATTACACAACAAATAAATTATGGTATTCATTCACTATAGCAAATACACGTTGGATAGTATTGGATAGTAATATTGATGATGAGTTACAAGATAAATGGTTGATAAAAGAGTTGTCATCAATCGAATCAAAATTGGCCAAGTTTCGTATTGTGGTGGTACATATACCACCATTTGTTGAATTTTGGGATCCAAAATCCTGGAATGAGAAATCAGAAAAATATTGGGGTGATTTTGTTAGGAAGAGGTATGTACCTCTATTTCAAAGATATGAAGTTGATTTGGTGATAAGTGGACATCAACATAATTACCAACGTGGTCAATTCGATGGTACTGTTTACACCATAATTGGTGGTGCAGGTGGCGAATTAGATTATGAGAGAGTTGAAGATTGGAAAATTTATTCAATGGTTAAAAAAATTCATCATTACGTGTTGATTGAAATTTGGTCTGATAAATTGATTTGGGTAGTTTATGATATTAATAATAAAGTTATTGATAAATTTGAGTTAGGAAAGAGAGCCATTTTTACTTAAGATTAATTTTTTTCATTTGTTAATTATATTTTTTTAATTATATTTTTTTGTAAATACATGATTTTTTTTATTCTAATAATTAATTTAATTTTAATATGTACATATACTTTTTATATTATGTAACACTAAAAAGTTTATGACATCTTTGAGAAAAAAAACAGTTAATAATATTAGTAGTATTTTTGAACATACTGTTTTTCCATATTAATTTGTGATGCCATATATTTTCTTTTTATTAATATGAATAATGATGCAAAGGTAAAAAAGAAGCCAGCTTGTGCGAAGCTTTAAAGATAAAATAGAAATTTTAACGTAAAGAATTTACCTTTACCGGTAGCAATTCTTTATATTGCACAGCCACCTTTTTTAATATTTAAAATCACTGCAATATACAACAAAAAATATGCACATCCCTCTACAATATTGAAAACCCAAGTGATTTTTTACCAGTCGGTACAAAAAATCATTGTTTTTTTATTTTGAAAGAGAAATTATTTTAAAATTAGTCGTTGGGAAATATGCAAGTCGAAGAAATAATTCATGAACATGCATGGAGAGGAAAATTTTCGGCACCCGTCTAAAGTCAATTCCAATATAGTCGTTTATGTGCATTAGGTATCAGGTAATTTTATTATTAATTTATTATTAATTAGATAATCAATAATTATCTACATAATTAGACCTGTTGGTTGATGAATATGGCAGAAGCCTACCAGATTCATCATTTGTTGGCGCGGAATTTCTTGATTTTTAAAGGTGAACAGCTACAAAGCATGACCTTTATTAAAGTTAATTAATCATCTACAAAATTTTATGTGTCACTAAACCTGGTGAATGGATAAAATTTACAATCAATCGGTCCATTCGCGCAAAAATACTTTGTAATGAACGTATGTTTATGGAGGGCCTTTTGTGCGTGTGGATTTTTTTGCGGAATGAAATCGAAGAGGAGGTAATTATTTATTGGAAGTTTAGTGAAAAAATTTTTAAATAAATTTTTAAACAATAATAATTATAAATTTCATTGATGGTTTTTTTTTGTTTGGAGAAACATTGAAACCATATTTCACATCTACTTTAAATAAATCGGAAGAAATTGAAGACGTGATTTTCAAAAGTTTTATGAATATAAATTTTACATAGTAAAAAAATAAAAAAATATAAAGAATAATTATAATTATAAATAGTTTTTGTTAGTTTCCATTTTATATTAAATCTTTAATTTTCGACATAATTAATAATGTACAAAAAAAACAAACAAACATATAAACATTGTTTGCGATCATGTTTTAATGAAGAATGCTTTAGTTGTCATCATCCTCTTCTTCATAATTTTTCTCACATATATATTTTTTTCCTCCAATTTTTGATAGCAATGTAATTGTTATGACGTAAATTGCGATTGTAATTATAATAGTTATAATGGTAGATTTAGTTTTTATAGTGATGTGACAGTAGTAGTTTCACCTATAATATTACTTTTTGATCCACTACGACGATGGCTTCCATCCAAACTGCTGCTGCTGCTGGTTCTTGTATGTGATAATTTCAAAGGTCTTAATCCACGATGCATACTTTCTTTTCGTCGTCTTTTATAAATGCAAATTATAATAAATATTACACCGATCAATAGAACGCTGATAGTAATTCCCAAAATTGTTTTTGCAAACGGTGCATTCAACGCCAAACTATTATTAGCATTACCACCACTGTCACTAGTAGAATTGGTAGTAGTATTATTACTTGAATTTATACTACTAACTGATGTGGTAATGCCGGCGGATGTAATTGATGTAGCAGTTGCAGGTGCAGTAATTGTTGTTGCTATTGGATCTGCTTCTATTTCCAACCATGAATCTAAAGACACTGAATTTGGGGTTTTTTTATCATTCCAATTGCATATTTCATATATACATTTGCCTTCTGGAAAACAATCTTTGTCCCCTGAACATTTAAAAGCACATTCTCCTTCTAAACATATTACATCGTCATCGTAAAATTCGCAATCATCATCTTCAATACATTCCATGAATAATAAAATTTATTTGTTATTTATTACAGTGTTGGGGGTTTTTTTTTCTTGAGAGAAAAAATTATTTTTTTTGAATGGCTGTGTATTTATTTATTTATTTATTATCATTAATCATTACGACAATTATTATTGTCAAAAAAAATATCTTGTTACTAAATGGCATAGCGTACAAAGCCACTTGTTCTCCTTTGAATGTGCAGAGTGTTATCAAAACCAAAAGAGCAAATGAATCATCATCATACCTTTTGATGGTTAAGATAAGCAATTTTTTAAGGTAATAAAAAAAAAACAATACTTTAGAGGCAAAGAAATTTCAATGAAAAATACACACACATATATATGAGAATAATGGATTGAGTTTTTTTCTTTTTTGCAATTTATAATAAATATTATGATAAGGTTATCTATTATCATTACATTGACAATAAAAATTATTCCTTTAAAAAAAAATGTAATGTAGTACAATCAGGTGACTAAGCCAAAGATATTTTTTTAATTTCGAGATAGTTCCTCACAGACTTGTATTGTATACGGTACACTAGGCTTGCACAATCCCTTAGAATTATCGTATCAAAGCATAGAATGTATTAACTGTCGTGCTATAAAATCTCAGGATCCATTGCCGTTGCTGTGCATCAAGACTGTTCTAAGCCTCTCGTTACACTTTAACCAACACCAGTCAATTCGTAACACTTAATATAAAAATATTCAGGAAGGTTTAATAAAATAACCGGTTATTCATTATATGATATTCCCAATAAATTTATTTGCAATCGAGTGTGGAGTGAAAAAGGATCGCTCATAATTTTTATTTCATTATTTAGGAATATAACAAAAAAAACTTTATGGTGAAAAAATTTTATTTATTTATTTATTTATTTATTATAGAAAGCAATAAAATTTGTAAAAATTCTTAATTAATAATCAACAGCAATAAAACACACACACATATCTATATGTGTGAATATTTTATAAATGAAAAAAAAAAATAATAATTCATCTCAACCAAACAAAACTTTTTCTTATGTCCAAGCAACATTACCAGTACCAGTAATGAACCCGGTAACTACACCAAATATATAAGTAGCCAATTCTAAAACCCTAGGTGGTAAAATACTAGTTGCATAAGCCGGCAAATATTCAACGAAAGGCCAAGTAATTTCAAATCGATTTTCAAGCAATTGCCATTGAATAATTTTTGCCAATGATCTAGGAGATGATTTGAAAATTCTTGGAAGTTGAACTGGTTGTCTTGGATCACTGGTATCAATTAGTCCTGGTGTGATAAGATTGATTTTTATATTACGTCGTGCAGCCAAATAACGAAGGTCGCGTGCAAAAGAAATCAACGCTGCTTTGGTTGAATTGCAAAAGATCATTTGTGGCATTGAAAAATGTCCGCCAATTGATGAAGTAACTTGTATGTTTTTATATACATAAACATTTTTGGTTTTTTAAAATATATTTTTGTGTAAAAGAAAAAAATTATGATCAAAAAAACATTTCTTACTTGCAATTTGACCTTTTCCTCTGTCACACATTTTTTTATATGTTGTCATAACTGTTGCCAATGTACCTACAACGTTTACCTCAAAATACCTAACAATAAAAATTAAACAGCATTAGAATTTGTATATTAATCATATTAGACAATATTTTCAAAATGCAATGATCGATACCTATGCCATAAATCTTCCCATTGATCGGATAATTCTTGATCAGTTGTAATGCCAATTTGGGCTATTTATTAATTAGTCAATCAATAATCAATTTTTATTCGTACGCGCGTATTCAATAATTTCTTTTTAAAATGAATAAATAGATATATTTACCTGCATTTGCAATCAATAGTTCAATCGGATTAGCTTCATCAAACTCATCGATGTTTCTATTTAAATCTTCCAGATTAGTAATATCACAAGACATTACGCGAATAGTTGCACCTTTTTTTTTGCAGGCTGTTGCTACATTGTTTAAACGATCTATGATTATCAAAAAAAAAAAAAAAGAACAAATCAATAAAAATTATATTTCAGAAAGACAAAATTTTTATTGAATCAAGTTAAATATATTTGTGCCTTTATCACGAGCAATAAGTCCAATAGTAGTGTTTGGTCTTGCATAGGCAAGTGCAAGTTCTGCCCCGATACCAGAACTAATTATCGTATTATTGTAAATAAACGTTAATTAATAATAAAACACACACACGTAACTTAATTAAACTAATTTTTTTTTTACTTTGCACCAGTAATCAGAATAACTTTAGGATAATCAGAGAAGAGCAATCGCCAAATGGATTTTGGGAAATCCCAAATCAAGAAAAAGGTAGAAACCGGAATTGCAATAAATGTAAACGAGAGCCAAGCAACCCATGATTGAATAACAGGTTGAAGGAAAGTTGGTACGGTTACTGGTGGAAGCATATTCATTATTACTGTTACTATTGCTATTATTATTATTATTATTATTATTATTATTATTATTATTAAAATTAAAAAATCAAGAAAATTGATGTATTTTTTTTTCAGTAAAGAAATTTATTTGATTTATAATAAATTTAACTATTATTTGACAAATTATGATTTCACAAAATTTCTTTGTTTATATAATCCACCTCATGATGACATTAAATCTTATAATAATTCAGATTATGTCATGTTTGAACGTGAAATTTGCGAATTTTGAAACTTAAAAAGGAATGACATCAAAACTTTAATAAATTTAACAAGTAATTTCGTAATTTATAAATCCTAGATCTTGCTTGATTTTTTTAATATAACACATATTCTGCTTCTTTCCAAAAATCTTCAATATAAAGCATCGCTGTTTAGTACCTTTCCAATTCTTCTCTAGAATTCCCTAAAGAATTATCGGAAATAGTAACTTGTATACAAAATTATGGTCTTTAAATTTTTTTGGTAGGCTTTGATTCAAAGCTTTTAATATTTTATCATCCACCACCTGCTATATAATCTGAATAAATCGGGTTAGAGTTGATACTTTTTTATTGAATAGATGAGTTAGCTGCTGCTGATCTGTTTCACTTTGTTGAATCAATACTTTTCCAATTGACCCATGAATACTGATGATCATATTAATATTAATAGTCGAGAATTTCGAAAAAAAAATCAATGAATCCAAATTTCAAGTGTTGGAAATAAAATTGATTTTATTTTTACCGCCCCTTAATGATAAATGTTTAAATTTTGAAATGCAGGGAGTGAGTGATTAAAGGATCCAATAATCAATTATTGAATTTGCATGCATCCTTGAAATTATCTGAAAAAACAAGATTATTCTTTTGAGCCAAGAATTTGATTTTTATTTTGACTAAGCTGTAATCAACATTCTTGTCATGTAGAGAAGACAAATTCCATTTAAAAAATAACATTTTAATCCATAAAGATTCTTCAAACAAGTATCAAATCTAGAATGATTCATCAACCAGTCACGTCTGAAATAAGAGTTCTGATAGTTGTTAAATGATTTGCTAATCGTCCAAATATATTGGTAATAAAATTCAACGCATGATGGTGGTTTTTCCAGTAATCAAAAATTTAATTTTGCGCCAAGAAAGTCTTACCTTCTACCAATAAACAATTAATCAATACTTGGATGTTGTTTTCAGAATAGAATGGATTCATTCCTCCATAAGGTTGGAATATTAACATCAAGCAATTGTTTGTTTACTAGAATGCAAGATTACAATGAACAAGCTTTTTATTTTATTTAATTGAAGGGAAACAATTAATTATTTGCTTTTCAGAAAAGAATAATGATGTTTTGAATTACTGATTATAATCAACCTTCTCTGCTATGTAAAATTAAATTAATTTTTTAATTTATGCGAAACGCTGAAAAAATATCATATAAAAAAAGTCATCATCATGTGATTTTATAATATAGTTTAAATTAACATAAAAATCTAAACTGATTTGTTTAGCCCCCTCTAAAATTCTACTTGAAACTGTGCGCCTTGACCAATTTCAAAAGTCTAGCTAATTTATCTCAAGTTAAACTAGAATAATTTTAGCACACTTGCATAGTTCTTTTTTTTGCAAAGCACTCAAAGAGGTCCTAGAACAGTCATTCAAAAAAAACCCTCCCATTTAAAAAGATTACAAGTTATTCTCTTCACAGATTTTGTGTACCTTATTGCTATATTCTTTTGTAAATTTGACTATAATTTTCTGTTATTATCCACAATAGCTGCTTTGAATACTGATTTTTTTATATATAGATAATTGTTCAAAATATATAAATTCTCTTTCTATTTTCATCTTTAAATTACAAGGAAATGGAAACCAGGAAGAAGGACTCTTAGAAATGGTATTGTCACTTTCATCATTTAGCCAAGAAGCAAAAAAATTTATTGGTAAATTTTCTGTGTCCTTTCATAGAAACTTTTCAAATTCTGAAGCCTGTTTCTGAGAACATAGAGCAGATGTGTAACTCAATGATAATGACTACAATCCATTGATGGTAGCAAATAAATTGGATCACAAAGCCAATCCCAAATAAAGACTATGGTTTGTATTCATGGATACTGTGAATACCATTAAGGGGGTTGCATACTGTTAAAACAGCAAAATATCTCTTAAAAACACATGTTGATCACTTGATTTTAATAGTGGACAACCCCATGTGACCTTCTTATGGCATCCGTGAATACAAACCCTATAAAAGACAGTGTTGCCACATTACAACCATATGAAGGCAGGACAGCCCAATTTTTTGCAACATTAATATTGTTAACATCACTCCAACATTTGGAATTGGTTCTGAACTTCCACAACAAAGTTCACTCTTAACTTCAAGAACAAGAGTCACAACATTAAATTCCCCATATAGTGTCATTATACACCATCATGCTTCGAAGAATCACTATTTGAAATGGTTTCCATTGGTCCTAGTGTGAGATCAAAATTCCGCGTCTCACACAAATCTCTTGATTTCGTTAAAATAGTATTTTTTTCGTTCATAAGGTAGT